GTTGGACTGGGTGGCCTGGAAAGGTCCCTTCAGCCCAAACTGGTCTGTGAGACTGTGATTCTAATAAGCTACAAAAAATATTTCCAGTGTAATGCTCAAATCTTCTAATGCACATGGGTACATAATCACGAGACTGACCATAGAAAATCTTTTATTTCATAACAAAATTTTACATATTCAGTCTAAAAGCATGTACATTTCATCAGGTATATCAAAAGTAAAACATACAGGAGTTTCAGTACATGCCTAATAAAATAGCTTTTCTTCTTTCTAACTGATTTCTCCAAATCAAATGCACCAAGACCTAGAGGATGATAGCAGAGGTTTTTTAACTATGTGGAAAACATTACTAGTGCAGAAAGCTTTTTTTGTTAATCTCTATAAAGCTTAGTGCTAGCTTAGGGCAAGCATACACATATATGGGTACAGCAAGAATTATACGGTACAATCTATTATTCATAAAATTGTCTCCTAAAAGTGGATTTTGAGAGTTAGCTCAAATGAAGGACTTGGGAGTCAAAACACCACTTACACCTGAGTCTGAAACTGTAAGTCCAAACCCTGTAAGACCTGCCTAAGGGCAGCCAAATTCGCCACCGTATTCCTTCTTTGACCCCAACGCTGCTGATGCCCTGGGATTTTGGGAGATGCTGGGACCAGAACGACTCGTGGCACCAAGGAAGGTGGGGTCCCTGCGCCTGCCCCCCGGGGCTGCGGGCACAACGCAGCCGCAGCCTCCTCCGGGACAGCCGCCGGCTCTGGGTGAAGCTGTGAGGCACATCCCAACTCCTGCACAAGACAGTGCTCGCGGCAGCCACAACACCAGAGAACTAGACCCCCGGGTCGTACCGTAGGCTGGTTACCAAAGCATGACATGTCCGTTCTCAAGAGCCCTGGACCTTACTAACAGGGTAACTAACTCTGCATTGCCGGGAAACTGTCTCAAACAGCAAGTTTCCCACACCAACACAGAAGGTTTCCTCCTCAGGCATTTCACTTTTTTCAGAATCACTTGCTTGAATAACTTTTTTTCAGCTCATTCCTGATTTTTACTTTATAACATGGTGTAAATGTGGGGTTTTTTACACCGTAGCAGTTTTTACTTTATACCATACAAAGTTATTCATAAATACCAATCCCAGTAGTGCCCTAATTCCTACCTATCCATGATGGATATGCTCCTAAAGCCTTCACTAAAAAAAAATTACCAACAGCAACTCACCAAGCATCATGATCTACTTTCAGTCACGTTTCTGAATGCTAAAGTATCATTTTTAAAAATAGCTTTAAGATAAATAGATTTCCACAGAAGATCACCATATAGAATAAAAATAAGAATTTATAATAAGAATTCTTCTAAGAATTTAAATTTATCAGATGGTCTATGTTTGCAAGGACAGCACATCTGCACCTGATACAGGTGGCATTATGGGGATACTCAGTAAAATGGAAAGCTGTTTTAATGTCGGAATAGTAGTATGCTTTAATCTGTGAATAAATAGCATTTTTACACTGCATGGCTTCTCTGTATAAAACCCGTGGTTACCATGACTAAAATACATAATAGCAAAATATTTCTCTTGGTTGGATATAAAGTGTATTTCCATTAAGCCTATATTTAAATGCCTATAAAACATTCACAGAAAGTTAAAAACAGTCTTTTGTTATTGGTTATCTATACTTAAATTATTGTCAACAAACTAACTCCTACCAAAAACCTGGGAAATCTTTCAAAATATTAAAAATTTAGGACTACATGCAACACCAACAAACATTCACACAACTTGTGCTGTGACCAAGGATGCTATCAGGCAAGCTGTAGTTCAGCTATATGCTCATTTTTCACTTTATGCTTCAAAAAACCCTAAGTTTTATTCACATCTATCCAGTTGACTTATGCTTATATTTTTAAATTTCTACTGTAGTGATAGGAAATTATCTTTTTTCACATTTGATTTCAATACATATTACTTTCCTACTCATTTTTTTCTTTAACATTTTCAGTTTTCTTTAGTGATTTTGAAAAGGCAATGTAACAGTCTATACTTCAGACTCCTTATATGTGAGATGTAGATAAGTATATCTCACCTTTTAAAGAACTTTAGGATCTCCAGATGAGAAGTTAAAAATAAAAATGATTTATCATTCTTACATAAAATTAACCTCACAATTCTGAGCCTGCAGCAGCCAGCTGAGTCACAAGCTCTTTTTTTTTTCGGTGTCCAAAACTGAGAAAGGAAATACCCTCTCAACCCCTGCAAAATATCAGCAGGGGGAAACAAAGTCCCTACGACTCTAGCATGGACTTTGAAAAGAATGATTCACCTATAAAACTGTACTGAAATATGACAACAGTTCCTATGAGCAAAACCAAGACCCAGCTCCAGCAATTTGCTGTTCCATCTTCATCTCACAGCTGCAGTTCCGTTACTTTTGAGTCAGACTGTCGTGGATGTGGGGGAGACACTAAATAATTTTTTCAGTGCCTTGTCTTTGTCTTTCTAGGCTCAGACTAGATACCGAAATTAAAGGCAGCTGGCAAAGCAGAATTAAAAGTACAAGAACAGTAATGAAGGGTTTAGCTCCGCAGCAAGACTTCACTTACAGAAACGTGTCTGTGCTCACATAGGTACCCTTCGGTAACGGTCGAGTAAATTTTCTTGTTAATATGATGACATACATGTAAGAGTGGCAGGACAAACGGATGATGTAGGGCAAGAAGCCTCTCCCTAGTGCCTGCAAGGGTCGTGCTAGCCATAATAGTCAGGGTTTCTCTCTCATGTCTGAGCAAGAAGCCTCACAGCCAGAAGATATAATCAGGTTTGTCTCGCTCCGTGTGGCTTACGAGCCCGTGACAACAATTCAGTTTAAACCGAGTCCCTGGGGGGAGGGCTGAGCTCACAGTCCCCTCACCAAAGTCCTCATAGGACTGGTATACCCGCGAGGGTCACCTCCCTCCATGGCCAGGACATCTACCATTTATGTGCCAGCGACCAGGGGGGGCACCTAGGAGTACGAGACCCACTTTTCCCCAGAAAGTCACTAGTGCCAGTGCGTTTTCTCCCACAAAGCCTACGAAAGGCTGTTGACCCCCTTCCCTTCCCTCCCAGTCCCTACCAGTACCGTCTGAATATGCTCTGAGTGGACCGAGTTCTCCCTGACTTTTTCCTCATGGGGAAAAATACAATATGAGCACACTGACAAGGGTGTTCTACAGGATATTAAAACAGACTTTCTTCTCCTATTTACTAGGAGGAAAAAGTACTTCGACTCAGGTTTTTCGGACACACTAGAGAATATAGTGATGCACAGGCATCCCTCTGGGATTAAAATATCTACTCATACAACTGCAAGAGTCTCAGTAAAAGGAACTACAGACTTAACTTGAAGGAGAAAAAGGATAGTTACTAAAACACTTATTAAGCCTAAACTTTGTTTTGCAAAACAACAGATGTTGCACTAAATTATTCCATTGAACTATTTAAAGAACTTAGGAGTTGGCTTCCCAGCCTCCCTGCACTGCTACTGTGCTCCTATTGTACACAGATTCGAAGAAAAAAAAAAAAAATCTGTTTTCAACAGATGCTGTTTTAGCAACCAAAAATAACCATGAACACCAATAAAATAACCAATAAAGAAATTATAAGGAGGAACAGATGACAGTCATGACACAGCCCCGTACTATGTTTAATCCCCATGAAATATGTGAAATCCTTGTGCTTGAAATAAATCCTTATGATACATTTCTCAAAGCTTTCAGGAAAAAGGTAGAGTGGTTTATTCTCAAAGCAAGGAACATTAGTAAGTGCCCCACAGCATGGCATAGAGCACTGCAGGGGAGATCAGCGTCTTTTTTTGCTCCTGACATGATTTTTCTACTCCGTACGATTCCCAGTCTGAGATGCCCCTGTTGAGATGCACTTTGCGCATGTTCAGTCTTCTTACATGACCGTGCAATGGCATTTCTGAGAGTGGACGTAGTTCCTGTAATCAGCAAGCTGCTTCATGTACAAATTGGAGGGCCATCTGTGCATCTCTACAAAATTGCGCTCCTCCACTAAACAAAGCAATAAAGGAATTAAATGTAATATCCAAACACATAGCACAAGTGCAAAACATCTGTTTTTTAAAATAGGTTAACGAACATGAAGGATATGAGTAGAAAAGTAAAGATGAGTGCTGTCCGTTTTACTGTAGTGCAGATGTAAACGTTACCGCACAATGTTCCCTTGCCTTTAAGTTAGCAATAAATAAGTTACTTGATGAAATAAACACAATAGTCATTAGAGAGTGAAGAGGTATTATCCTAAAGATGAATATTCTTTATCCTTAGAAAATAAGCAGATGTGGCAATGAACTGCGAGGGGTTTTCTATGCTGCAACACTAGAAAGGAGTTATTACGCCAATTGTTTGTCTCAGGACTCTTACAGAGAGCAAGGTGAGGCGAGCAGTTAAGAATTCAGCAAGACTTTTTTATGGCATGTGTCTTTTGTCACTGATGAAATCATGTAATGGACTTTTTAGCTGTATTGCTTAGATGAATCACAGAACCACAGACCAGTTTGGGTTGGAAGGGACCTCTCCAGGCCACCCAGCCCAGCCCCCGGCCGTGAGCAGGGACATCCCCAACCAGAGCAGGTTGCCCAGAGCCCCGTCCAGCCTG